CGGGCGCGTGTGCGTGTGTGCCCAAGATCCTGAGAGGAGAATGGAGAAGGGATTGCGGTGTGGCCATCCTCTCTGGGGGGTGATTTCTTGCTTTCTGTCTCTATGTCTCTCTTTGTCTGTCTGGCAAGCGCACACGCCCTATAGCAAAAACCTCTCAAAAAAATAAAATTAAAATTAAAATTTTTAATTTTTAAAAAAAGAAAAAAATTCTTAATATTGTATATGCCAGCTTAAGGGAGCTCATGTGGTCAACTACAGTTCTGATCCCAACAAACTGCTTGAAAAACACCAGGCACGGGCCAGCAGGTGGCACGGTGGTTGAGGTGTTGGACTCCCACATTACTGACCAGGGTCCCTAGACCTGGTGACTTACTCTAATTCTCTCTCTCTCTCTCTCTGGTGCGTGTGTGCCCTGTAGCAAATTAAAATAATATATTTTTTGAATTAAATAAATAATTAATTAAAATAGCAGCAGGTGGGCCAGCCTGTGGTGGCTAAGTCGGGTAGATCCCACAGGGCCAGCTGCAGGGTTTGAGTCCCAGACCAGCAGCTTGGAAATCACAGTGGACATGTGTGCATGTGCCCAAAATCCCAAGAGGAGAATGGGAGAGAAGGGATTGCCCTGGTAGGTGCTTCCTCGCTTTCTCTCCCTTTCTGTCTCTCTCTGGCAAATGTACATGCCCATAGCAAGAAATAGATAAATAAGTAAAAAACTGAAAACAAAAGAGATGGACCAGCAGATGGTATAATGGTTATGTCACTGGATTCCCACATAGTCAACAGTAGTTCAAGTCCTGGACCCAGTAGCTTGAAAGTCATGCTGGTTATGTGTGCATGCTTGCCCAAGATCCCAAGGGGAGAATGAGGGAGAAGGGATTGTGGCAAGGCCATCCCCCCCAGAGATGATTTCTTGCTTTCTGTCTTTCTATCTCTTCCTTTCTGGTGAGCGCACACACTCTATAGTGAAAAATCTCTCTAAATAAATAAATAAATAGAAAACAAACAAACAAAACCAAGGTACATGTGTGTAGATGCTCCAAATCCTGACAGCATGAAGAAATGGAAGAGTATGGATCGTGGCATGACCATGCCCAAGTTGGGGGTGCGGGGAGAGCTTAATCGCTCTCTGGCAATTAAAAAAACAAAAAGTCAGCTGGATCCCATTTTGCAAAAAGAAAATCCCTCAGTTATTTGCTAAACTGAAGAAAGTCAAAGCCGTTCAGTCTTCTATAAGGAGAGCTTTCTGCTTGTCTTCGGGTATTCCAATAGTGTGATATTAGCTACCGTTTTTGAATATTGATACTACCTTTGGCACTCTGCTAAGCACATCACCCTCACAATCGCTGGCGAGTGACCCCTCATTTCTCACAGTAGTCCATGGGGTAGGCACTATTATTTTACAGGTGAGTAAAATAAGACCTGCGGCTTAAGTGGTTTGCCCATGGTCACATGGCTGCAGGTGGAAACAGAGGAAAAGTGAGGGGCCCACTGAGTGGTGGGAAAGAGAACTACGAAGGTGCATTTTCTCTCCTCCTCTGCTTCTCTCCTCCACTACTTCATATAGTAAGGTGAGGCTTTTTGTAGAGAATTTGCACTGTACGTCTTAGGGGAGCTGAAGACAACCTCAACGTCACTGGCTGGGCGGCGCAGTGACAATGTGCTGCTTCAGTACAGCTGGGTCCACATGGAAGATCGTAGGTTTGGTTCCCTGGTTGAACCGCACATGTTGGTGGTCCCGAATGGCTCGGGGGCTGGGAGAGGGTCATTGTGGGAGACCCTTTGAGGGTGTTTGTCTTTCTCTCTGTCTCATTCTCATGATTGAAAGAAATAAGCTTAAAAAAAGAAAGAAAACTACAACACCTTGACCTAACCCTGACCCCTGGGGAAAGCAGAACAGCTCAGGAAGAAACGGGTTGAAGAGCTACAACCTCATGCAACCCCATGAAGAACCTCTTTCTCTATTATAACACATTCCTCTGGTGTTTAATTCTTCTTTTCTTTCTTTCTTTTTTTTTTCCTCTTGGTTTTTGCCATAGGGCACTTACGCTCTTCAGACAGGGAGATATAGTGAGAGGAAAAATGAGAAGTCATACCGAGGGGGGATGGCCACAACCCCTTCTCCTCCATTCTCCTCCTGGGATTTTGGGCATGCATGCACACACACCTGGTGTGATTTCCAAGCCACAGGTCTTAGCCATGTGGGAGTCTAGTGTCTCAATTACCATATCACCTGCTGGCTCCTCTGCTGTTTAATTCTGCCATCAGGACTATCATATTTTCCTCAGATGCTTTGTTTTAACCACAACCAAGCTGTCTGTTGCTCATGACATTATTTTTAGACCATCTATACGATAACACAAATGATGGAATTGTAAAAAATTCAGTCAGGCACATGCTTGGACCATTTTTTCTTGTTTTCATAATGTTCAATAAAGTCAAATCTAATTTTTTACAGAGATGAGTCGGGCCCAAGTTCTTCCAAGAAAATAGGTTTTCAGGGAAAATGGGAAATTGACAATTTCCCCAAGAATTTTATACGAAGACGTACTCTCTTCTATTTGAATAATGGCAAGAGATTAGGTAGGCATGCCTGTATTCTCTATTTTCCCCTTTATTAATGAATTAGAATACACAATTGATTTAAAATTAAATAAAATTCTCATAAGCATCATTCACATCTTCATTACCAGTCGCTTGTGCTTTGTAAAACTGGATTTCCATGTAAATGGCTTCATGTCTAAATGGGAGTCAGCTGTGGCTATGGGGAGCCTGGCTGGGCTGTGGCCTGACCTGACCCCGCCTGCAGCCGGGGGGCGCGTGGCCGGGGGGGGGAGGGCTACAGGTGAGCATAGACACAGAGGGCTGAGCCTGGTTGGATTAAGGAGGGCAGAGCAGCCATGACCCTGGATCAAAGCTCCCGGAAGCTCTCCTCTCTGACCCCAGCTTCTTGAATTAACCTGCACTCCCGTAGACTGGTGTTTAAGGCATCTCCCAGGCTTAAGATCTGTTGGTCTTCTGCAGATCTCTGAACTCTCCCCTGTCCAGATTCTCGGGGGAGCCTCTGGGAAGTAGGGACCCTGGACATAGTTTTCTTCCTCCTCAGGCAGTTTGGGAATTCTCTCTCAGGTGGAAGGCAGAAGCTTGAACTCTGGGGTAACCATTTTAAGGCATTTGGCTTTAGGATCCTCTAGTCGCTCTGAAAATGTGAGAACACAATGTTACACGATTAATTCTTTTCTAATTCTGATGCTGTTTGCAAGAAGTGACAGATTTCAGAATAACGAAATAATTTTAGTGTCACTTTTTACTCCCAATATTAGTATCACATGTGAAACCTGGTATTTTGAGATTTTCATCACCCATCTGGTTCTCTAGGAATCTTTAAAAAGTGCAAATACTTATAAAAGAAAAAAAGAGAAAAGAAGAGAATGTCTTAAAGTATAAATTGATGTCCATTTTGCTAAAGTATTTCTTTTTTTTTTTAAAGAGGTTTTTGCCATAGGGCATGTGCATTCACCAAAGACAGAGAGAGAGAGACACACACAGAGACGATGGGAGGGAAAGTGAAAAATCACTCCCCAGGGTGATGGCCATGCCGCAATCCCTTCTCCATTCTCCTCCCGGGATCTTGGGCATGCACACATGCACCCAGCATGATTTTCAAGCCACTGGGTCCAGGACTCAAACTGTGGTTGGCCATGTGGGAGTCCAGCAAGGTAACCGCCAACGTATTTTCTAATATTGCCAGCAAGATATAACCAACAGCATCATTATCTAGTTTTAACTTCGAAAATAAACATTTTAGCATAACTGATATCTCCATGCTTTGCTCAGATTAGGGACTGATTCTTGAGTTCTTCGCTGTAGACTATCATAAAATTGTTAGTGGAACAACACTTAAAGTGGATCCAAGGCCAGCAGGTGGTGGTTAAGGTGCTGGACTCCCACATGGTCAACCACGGTTCAAGTTCCAGACCTGGAAGCTTGAAAATCACACCAGGCACATGTGTGTTCTTGCCCAAAATCTGTAGAGGAGAACAGAGAAGGGATTGTGGCATATCCATCCCCCTTGGGGGCAATTTCCTACTTTCTGTCTCTTTGTGTCTGTCTGTCTCTCTCCAGAGAGCACACATGTCCTATGGCAAAAACCTAAATAATAATAATAATAATAATAATAAAATGGATTGAAGTAAATCTGAGTGTTTACACAGCTGGAAGAAAGGATGCCCTCCTCACTCTCTCCTCTGTTCGTGGGCCGTCCTGAGACCAGGGAGGATCCTGGGATCGCGGTGGACCAGATATCCCTAGAGGAAGGGGAGGCAGTGGGAGAGCCCTCAGCTGCTCCTTTCTCCTTGGCCAGGTGGTCTGGGGCTCAGAGCGGGAAAGATGGGGTCTGAAAGGTCAGCAGCAGGTTATGCCAGAGTCTTGCATTATGTAGCGGGGCCTGGGAAGGCGTCTTCCGGGTCAGGCGAAATATGAGGGATGGATGAGAAGTGGCCAGTCATGCAGGGAAGGAAACGAAAAGGAAATGGAAAAGGGAGGAGGAAGAGACGCAGGATAAGAGCCTGGCGAATCAGAGACAGGAAAGAGCCAGCATGGTGAGAGGGGCTCCGGGCCGGGATGCCTTCCCAGACCCGGTCTGACGTGAGTGTAATAGGGTGCCATTGCAAGGCGACCAGGGGAGATGGTGGCAGGGTGGCGACAGGGACACACGCGTAGGTTTGACATACATCTCACATGCAGAAAGAACTGCCCGGACTTTCTAACAGATTGATGCAGAAAATGAGTAGGAGGAGAAATCAGGGTATAATTCAAAGATTCCATTTGTAATCAAAAAATAAATAAAAACATGAAATGTGTAAGAATCAATTAGAGGGGTCCGGCGGGTGGCATGGTGGTTAAACGCACTGGACTCCCACGTGGCCAACTGCAGTTCAAGTCCTGGACCTGTAGGCTGGCTTTCTCACTTTCCCTCTCTTTTTCTCTGTCTCTCTGGTCAAACTAGAAAATAATAATAATAATAAAGTTAAATAAAATAATGCTTTTACAAAAAAGAAGAAAATGCACAGGAAATGTCCAAACGTATTTGAAGAAAACTATAAACATTTTCTGAGAGATTTAAAGAAAGAAAAGGGAAAACAATTTACATAACAAAGAGAAAATTAGCTCTTACAGAGAAAGATATTAATAATTTTAAATCAGTACAGCCCAATGTAATCCCAACAGAACTTCTTTATTTTTAACATGGTAAAAATAATACCAAGATTCTGGAAGAATAAACATTTAGGACCAGCAGGTGGCACAGAAGCTAAGGTGCTGGTTCCACATGGCCAACTGCTGGGTTTGAGTCCTGGATCCAGATGCTTGAAAAACACAGCAGATGTATATGCATGCATGCCCCAAATCCCAGAGAAGAATGGAAGAGAAGGGATTTCGGCATGGCCATCTACCCCGGGGGGTGATTTCTCACTTTCCCTCTCTCTGTCTCTCTCCAGGAAGCACATAGCCCTCTAGCAAAACTGGAAACAAAACCGAACAAAACAGAACCAACATGTCTCTGAGGCCCAACTGCAGTGGCATAGGTGTATGGCGTTGCTACATGCCACTGGAGTCATCGTGGAGGCTGGGTCAGTCGAACCATGCCAAGCTCACCTGTGCACCCTGGGATCCTGGCTGTGTGGGAGGCAGAGAGGACAACTGTGGCAGGGCGAGACTCTGTCAAGGGCACTGCCCCTCTTTCTCTCTCTTACTGTCTCTTGTGAAACAAATAGAATTTAAAAAAGAGAATAAGCAGGGACCAGCAGGTGGCATGATGGTTAAGGCACTGGGCTTCCACATGTCCAACCACAATTCAAGTCCCAGACCCAGTGGATTGAAAATCATGCCAGGCATATGTGTGTGCATGTCCAGTATCCCATGAGGAGAATAGAAAAGAAGGGATTGCTGTTTGGTCATTCCCCCATGGGGTGATTTCTCACTTTTCTTCTCACTATTTCAATGTCTCACTCTGGCAAGCACATATGCCTTATGACAAAAAAAAAAAAAAAAAAAAAAAAAGAAACTAAAAAAAAAAGGGGGGGTGGAGTAAACATTTATGTGAGACTAGCAAGGACAGTTCTGGAAAGGGGGAAAGGAACTACACCAGAAAACAGGGTTGACTGGCTACTAAAATGGAAAATAAAGCTACAATGATAACAATAAGAGATACCATACAGGAACAGGACTAACAGGAATAGACCCCAAAATAGACATTTTCCCTGTATTATAAAAAGTGGCATATCTGTGCAGAAAAGTTGGATTATTCTATACATGTCACTGGGCTAGTTGACTAGACCTTCAAAATATTAACACGGGATCACTGTTTTACCCCTCACCAAAATAAATTCAAATGGGTCAAAGACATACAGGAAACAAAATGAATGTTTTTATAAACATGGAGCAAGAAAAACTCTATGCATAATACAATGAGAAACTGTGTGAGCAGTGATTGCCAACTCAAACTACACGAGTACAACAAAGCAAGTGAATAAAACCCACAGAGTTAAAATATAATTGAACTTCTCAAGTTCTTTGTGTTTAAGTCCCATCTATTCGTGACTTCCAAAGGCTGTTTGTAGCCAGATAGTTTCCATTGTCAAGGGTTGAATTATGTCCCCTCAAAAGGTAAGTTTAAGTCTTGTCCCTCAGAACCTGCGAATGCGGCCAGATGTGGAAATGGGCTCTTTGCAGATGGATCAAGTTAAGACGTGGTCATACTGGATTGGGGTGGGCCTTCACCCAGTGACTGGTGTCCTTATGAGAAGAGAAAATTAAGAGCCAGCAGGTGGTGTAGTGGATAAGGAGTTGCACTCCCACGTGGTCAACTGTGGTTCAAATCCTGGCCCCAGCAGCTTGAACCTCACACTGGGTGAGTGTGTGTGCAGGCCCCAAATCCCGAGAGGAGAATGAAGAAGGGATTGCAGTGTGGCCATCCCCCCTGGGGGTGATTTCTTGTTTTCTCTCTGTCTCTGTTTCTCCAGCAAGCACATACACCCTCTAGCAAAAAAAGAAAAAAAGAAAATCTCTAAAGAAAAAAGAAAGAAGATAAAAATGTGGACACTGATACGTACAGGGAAGATGGCCGAGGTGGAAAACAGAAAGTGGGGTGATGGAGCACCAGCTACAGAAGGCCAGATTGCTGGAAGCCACCAGAAGCTAGGAGAGAGGCATGGGTCCAGTGTGTCCCTAGAACCTCAGAGCCCAGTGGACACCTCAATGTCGACCTTGTGGCCTCCAGAAGTGTGAGAGAATACTTTTCTGTTGCTTTAAGCCATAGTTTGTGGGAATTTATTACAACGGCCCCAAAAACCAATACATACATTTTTGTCTAATAGGCATACTGAACTTCATTAAAACAAAACTCTTATTTTTACATAAATAAGTGAAATCGGACGTAATATACATCAGTTATGGTAGTTAACTCTGGAGGATGAGGATATAGGGGACTTACACTTTATACAGATGTGTATGGTCTGACTATATTATAAGCTGTATTTATAAACTCATAATAAAATGAAATTAAAAAAAATAAAATATATAGAAGTCATAATGCCATGAGTGGAATTCCACAAATTCAGTTTTGTAAAATGAAAGGTCATATTAACAGATGAGGAGGAATGGGAGCAGCTAGCCAGCTGAGAGGTCCAGGTGTCCAGCTGAGAGGTCCAGTGGTCTGACTATATTATAAGCTGTATTTATAAACTCATAATAAAATGAAATTAAAAAAAATAAAATATATAGAAGTCATAATGCCATGAGTGGAATTCCACAAATTCAGTTTTGTAAAATGAAAGGTCATATTAACAGATGCCAGCTGAGAGGTCCAGGTGTCCAGCTGAGAGGTCCAGGTGTCCAGCTGAGAGGTCCAGGTGTCCAGCTAAGATTTCCAGGTGTCCAGTTAAGAGTCTTAGGTGTCCAACTAAGAGTTGTAGGTGCCCAGGTGAGAGTTCCAGGTGTCTGACTGAAAGTTCTGAGTAGCCATCTGAGAGTTCCAGATGCTCAGCTTGGAGTTTCAGGTGCCCACTGAGAGTTCTGTGTGTCCAGCTAAGAGTTCCAGGTATATGGCTGAAAGTTCCAGGTGTCCACCTAAGAGTTCCAGGTGTCCAGCTGAAAGTTCCAGGTGTCCAGCTGCTCTTTTCGGAAGCTACCTCGCTAGGT